CTTTTCATCAAAGCAATGAAAAAACCTTCAAAAAATGGAAAAGACCATTGAAAAAATTAGAAACCGATTAAATTTTAAAGAAAACAAGTTATTGTTTTTGGGAAGGTTTTACAAAAATTGAGGAAAACAATTTATTTGAATGACGATTGCGTTGGATTCAAATAAACATTAATGACGCTTCGAATCTCCTGATTGAAAGCATTGCAGTTCCGACAAACTCATTTCAAAAACTCATAGAAAAACTGGTTCCAATTGAAAAAAGCGGGGTCAAAAGTCTAGTAAAAAGTCAGAAAATGCTCTAGTGACGAATAAATAGCATTTACTGCCGCTATAAAGTTAAAAAACGAATCAATTTTTGCAAAAACAAATAAGAATTTAGCTCGAATTTTGCAAAGCCGAGTCAACACACTCTGAATTCAAACACAATCATATTCAAAATAAATTTTTACAGTATTTTAATGGAATCAAAAGCCAAAAAAACTCAACAAAATGTAATGAATATCCGTTACTTGAAGTTTTCAGTCTCATCTTGCAAAAAATGGAGAAAATTTATCTAAAAACTGTTAGTTGTCTGCAATTTTTGCCAACATAAATAAAAATGAAAGCAGCAGTTTTTTTTGGCAGAAACAAATGTTACTGAAATTTGCAACATAATCACGAAATCTAAAGCGAAAGAACTGTCGAGACATCTAAGAGCAAAGCGAATGGATATCAATTCTAATCAACAAATCACTGTCTGAAGTCATATTCATTAGCTGCTTAAAAACTGGAAAAATTCAATGCTTACACAAATGTGGACCACAGACACAAATATAGAACATTCTAAACAGGTATAGAACAAGGACTTTGTTTCCAACTCTGGCAAAACTCTTCGGAAAGTTTTGCATATATGAATAATTGTTTTTCAAAGAAAAGCTTGAAATCCTAGCTGACGACCAATGCAGTGTTTGCAGTAAGCGAGGCACAATTGAAACAAAAATGAATTAATTGATTGTATTAGGCATGTTTTGAGCAAAAAAAAATGATACAATGATTTGTACATTGCTTCATCTTTCAAAACCTGTTGACAACATTGACGATGGAAATCGAACTAAGAAGTTTAGAGGTTATGGAATAAAGACGAGCACAAAAAAATTGTTATCCTTGTGTCTTGAAGACCAATCTCAACATGTGGCAGCAGAGAACATGGTATAGAATACAAAACTTGTCGCCTGTGGAGTTATTTTTGAGGCTCCTTTTTTCAAAGTGACATACGACCAGAATGGTGGTCAAAATGCATGACGAAATCGACCTTCTATTTAAACAGTTTAGCTTGAGGACTGGCTGTTTCAGAGTATTAACGGTCTTATTTGATAAACTGATCAAAATGGGAGAGGTCGGTTTTAGCTGACACGTTAAACATAAAATTTGTAAGACACGAGACTATTTTTATTTTTGCAAATAAAAAGCACAAAAATCAACAAAACAACAATTTTAGCTAGTAGAAAACAGACCTACGATACAAATTGGAATCACGATCAATTTTATCGTTGGAAGAACATCCGAATTGTAACGATTGTGCCGCAAAAAATTGTTACGGAGCAATTCCCGAGAGCTCGGAGGGGTATCGGGTGGATTTTACTACCCTTCCCGAGTGACGATAAGACCGTTCTTTGTCAGGATTCGAGAATCCGGAAGGGTCTCGGTAAGAGACTGAAACTCTATTTTTAACAACTTTTAGCTTCCTTGCAGGTCCTGAATTGAACTTAATTAACACAGAATTCATTTTTTCAGAGTATGAGAAGCTAAGAGTTGAGGGAAAGGGTTGATCCATCTCCGATGGATATGATGACTTATCTACTGAACAAAAACAATATTAATATGATAATGAATGGTAGCCCTGTTTTTAGGAGTGAACTCGTTGTCTGGGGATATTGAGACCAATCCATGAGCTCATTATTTTAGCATGCAACCAAGTTAATTTCCGCGATCTGGCCGATGATTTCAATAGAAATGACTGTGTCGTTCCAATGTTAATGAACCACACATAGAACTGCTTTTGGTAGAGAGGGTTAAAACATGTGAAGCTGTGTTTAGACGCTATCCAGTCGTTTCAGAACCTAGCTTTTTTTTTCAGTTTAAATGTTTGTGTGATTTCAAAAATACCGTTCTTTGAATTGTAGCCTAATATTCCTCATGAATGTAGCCTAATATTCCTAAAGAGTTTGGAATTTGGAAAACGCTAAGACATGGCGTCTTGGAAACAAAATAAGTCTTAACCAAGATAAAACAAAAAAGATAAAGATTGGACCAAAATTAATCGAAAGAATCAATCAAACTAAAAAAACAAACCCAAAACGATATCTAAATGATAGAGTGAGTCTCTAGTTACGTTCATAAAAAATTATAAAAAGACTACATTGATATGCCTCCATTTATAGCATTTGCTTAAATCATTTTCTAAAAATCGACTTCAAGTATCTACAAAACTTATTTTCAACCAATATATCTCTACGCGGTATTGGTGTATAAAACTGATACACAAACCAAAATAAAGAAAATTGAAAACCAAAAAAGATAAAATTGCGAATTTGCTTCAATTTGAGAAAAACAGATTTTTTCAAACTTAGTTCTGCTACATCAGGTAGCTGCATATATGTGAAACATTGAATTTCAAGAATAAAATCGTTAGAAAACAGCACCCATGTGTCTTAATGAATGAATTAATCTACGATGAAGAAAAATTTGGCTAGTTCATATATGCGGGACGCAAATTCAGGTTATGAAACACGAAAGAAGTGTTGAACCACAACAAGAGAAACCACAACAAGAAAAACGTTTGTTATTTAGTGATGTCTATGCTTTCCACAAAAAATTTCTTGAGTTTTTATGTAATTCTGAAAGTGGTCTAACAATACAATTCTGCAACGCGTACGGCAACTATTTGTTGGTGACAATAAGTTTTTGATAAATTTTTTTTTGGTAATTGGAAATTCAACTGAACAAAACTGAACTTTGCTCAAGAATACACTACTCGACAGGCAGCTAACTAGCTTACTTTGGTGTTTATTAAGATGACTAGGAAAATGTTAAGACTTGACTGATTGGAAATAAACTAACTCTTAACCAAGATAAACCAAAAAGCTAAAAGTTGGACCAAAATCAACCGAAAGATCAATCCAAGCAAAGAAACGCACCCTAAAAATCTTGACAATATTTGGGTAATAAACTGAGTCTCAAGTTGCATATGTAAAAAAGTTTTAAAAAAGACCATCTCGATAGGCTTACATTTATTGCATTGGCGTCAATTATTCACTCAAAATCAACTTCTAAAGTTACAAAACTTACAAAACTTTTACAAAACTTATTTTATTTAGATATAACTGCTACTCAGACCAAAACTCTGAAATTTGAAAACCGACAAAAGCTAAAACTGTAAAATTTGTGAAAAACAGATTTTTTTTTTCAAAAACTAAAAAACCAAATTCAGTTCTGTTACACAAAAAAGCACTATAAATCTCAAACATTGATTTTTATTGAATTTAAAGACCAAAATCATAAGAAGGCAGCATTCATGCTTACTTATTAATGCTTTTATCTGCGATGAAGAAAACCTTTGCTAGTTCATGAAAATCAAACGTAATTTCACTTTATGAAAAACGAAAAAATGTTGAGCCGCAAGAAAAAACTCAAAATTAAGGTTTGTTCGTTATTTATTCATGTCTCTGTTTTTTCGACAAAAATTTAATTGAGGGTTTTTGTTAATTCTCAAAATAATCAACTAAATTCAATTCTGCATCGCATATGGAATCTATACATTTGTGACAAGGAGTTTTTGATAAAAACTGTTTCGGTAATTGGAAATTCGGCTCAACGAAACATTTTTGCTGGGTCACGTTGACACAATTCGATGTGCAGCTGATGGACTTTTTTGGTGTCCCGTAAGATGGGCTTTTTTAGTGTTTTGAGTCATGTATATCATGATCGAGTCTGTTGCCTTCTTGAAAACGAATTGATTATGATTATTCTCGTTTGATATAATTGTGTCAGTATTTGACATTTGACGTGTTAGTTTTGAACTAATTTTGATTAACTAAAACAAATCGCTGCTTGAGGTTAAATTTTCGACGGATTTTCGTAAAACAAATTGCATTATATTTATTCTGCTAAAAATTGAAGTAAATTTTGTCAAATATTTTTTTCCATCGAAAGTCAAATCATTTTCAGTGAAACGCGTTAACTACAAATTTTTTTCCGGATAACTTAAATCAAATTTGTACTATGGCAACACCGATTTTGTACTACTGAATTAATCAATGAGCGAATTTCAACGATGAAAATGTTCATCGAATGTTTAAAAGCAAAACAAACAATCTGTAGTTTGAAAAGCTTGTAAAACTGAACGCACCACGCTGGATTTTTTATCGTGTTTTTAAATTTTTTTTTAGCATTTCTGTAGCGATCAGTGACCTAATGTTTTCAAGAACCTACTTGGCAGAACATCTTTGATATCGAAACCTGCAGTAAGCAGCCAAACATCCCAACACTTGATCACCTAACCATCGCAGTATGAAGGTCTTCAACTTCCGACGAGAGCGGTTTAAGTTCTTCGATCGAACAAACTGTGCTTGCTTACAGCAAAAAAAAAATATTGCAGAATAATTGAATTTTATACAAATTTACATGATCAGAGAGCAAACAATTTTTCCTATGCTTCGCTGAGTTTGCCATAAGAGAAGTCACTTTTTTTTAAATGAATTATATTCTTGCACAAAAATTTCATGTTTTTTTAATCTATTCTTCAGTTGAATGGTAAGAAATGAATTATCATGTACACTTTGTTTGGTTTTTTTTTTAACTGTTGGCATCTAGATAAAACTATCCTAGCTTCTAAAAGCATGTCTTAAATTAAAAAACCATAAGTGATGATCAAGTCGAACCGAGACTTTTACTATTAAAAAAACCATATAATACCATGATGTCTGCTTACCTAAATTTATTATACAACTATTCAAATAGCAAGGCAAAAAAGGAAATCGCCCGTCAACTTTTTTTAGTTCTTTTTTTGTAAAGTGACTCCCTGAAATTGTTTGAACTTTCAGAAGATAAAACAATTTTTGATTTTAATCATTAGTCACAATTGCAACTATTTACATTTTCACAGCAATTTAAATCCATACATTTTAACCCAGTTATGTTACAATATTATATACATGAGTTTGATTGAATGTTTGAAGTTCGCCTTAACTTTTTTTCCATTTCCACGGCAAATTTGTTTTGGCGACTTCGTTTGATTAGTTCAGTCTTTTTCAAAGATTCAGTTAAGTATTGTTAAGATTTTACTTTCGTCCAAATTGTGTTGTAGTCGCTAGTAGTTTAGGTTCGGTAATGATCAGCTGAAGTTTGGTTATAATTGGTTATGAGTTGAGTCATGACTAAGTTCAGTAGAGTTGCGAGTTTGTTCGTGGGTTAATAGTCGAGTGCGCATATGAGGGCGACTCCTCGTTTGATCCAGTGCTGCTGGGTCTTGTCAGTGGGGATCTCCACTGGCAACACGAAGTTGGTCGAGTGTCCAGTAGTCGACAGGGTTCCTGCAAACACGCAATCCATAAATAATAATCAAATTAACAACTTGGTGTCAATCTCCTCAAGTACCAAAGATTCAACGGCAGCAAACGGTAAAATTAAGTATTTTAAATCGATAGAATTTTTATAAAGAAAATCGTTGATATCTTTTTGCCCATAATAAAAAACACCGCATAAAATTGAGTCAGTCAAAGGTTAAAACCAGACGCAAAATCTTTATGATTTGGCTGTTTTTCTCTCGATTTGTCCGTGCCAGATGAACGTCTCATTTCAATGCCAAAAAGTTCAAGAGATAAATCTGACTCGAATTTCTTGGAGCATTTACTTATCGGATTTTTATTCTACAAACCAGCTCTGGTGAGTGTCTTATAGACAGGGCAGTTGTAGATGCCAGAAGTGGGTGTCTTGCGGTTCTCGACTGGTTTGAGCCAGATCACCGGCATCTCCGTGTACAGCTCCTTGGGTCTAGACTCTATGAGCTGGCGTGACGAGTAGCCCCACCTGCATCCCTCCAGGTACAGTCCGTAGATGTAGCAGCCACTCTCCGGACGCTCATTCAAATCATCCTTGCTGGTTGAGATCACCTGCAACAATGTCCCCTTTTGAAACTTAGAAAGAAGCTTTCCCCTCTCAAGATAAAGTTCCCATTTAGGTTAAGTACTTTGTAGAGCTCGTATATTAACGACTTAAGAGTTGATAAAAACAATAGGGGATTCGACTTCTGACCAGCGTTGATAATAATTCACGACATCAATTTCTAGTCAATCAACTTTTATCGAAGCGCCTTAGGCCTTAATATCACTAATATTGAAAGGCAAAAGCATTCCAAAAATGGCAGTTTTAGCCTTTTTAAAAGGCCTACAGAGAGACGACAAATTGTTAATTATCTGTGGAATTCAAGGCCAAATGCATTTTGGCAGATGAAGCGAATTCCACAAACGGTCGGTGGATTCCGCAGTTTTCTTCCTCAATTGGTCCTATTTTATCGCTGATGGGTTAATTTACGTAAGATACCTTCACAAGAACACAATACTGTCATAAAAGTTGGAGGAAACATTTAGACATAACTAGATACCATTGTAGTTAGTGAGCTGACCTCGAAGCCGAAGGAGATGATGTCGATGGAGATGTGGAACTTCCTTGCGAAGTTCTGCAGGGTACCAGTGAGGAATGCCTGGGGGAAGAAGAAGCCGGAGATCCAGAAGGCAGGCGGGATTCCCTTCGCCACCCATCCCTGCAGGAAGTCCATCCTCTGGATCAGGTCATCAACCCAGGCTGCCAGCGGCTTCAGAGACGGGTAGGCCTGCGAAAGGTGAAGAAATGAGAAAATATAAAAAAAAACATTATGACAAAAAATATGCATCTTATTACGACCTTATAGTGTTTCTTTCAATGTACCGCCTGTTATTAGAAAAACAATTGTAGATTAGCTAGAACATTTAAACACAGAGGCGAAGCTGCGCTTCGCAAACACTTGCGAGAACACAACCGAAAAGCAGCTCTATCAAGTGAAATAAGAAAAAGTAGAAATAAGCCTCAAATTAGCAAACACTCAGCTACGTGAAGGATTCGAATCTGCGATCTACTGAAATCAAGAGATTTTGAGTCTCACGCACTATCCTTTCAGCCACGCAAGCTTTACAATCGACAAACACTAGTCACGAATAAAGCAGCTACATATGCTAATAACTTGCCAATGCAATTCAGCAGAAGTGGCACCAAAAACAAATAGACCCAATTTTGCATGTAATAATGTGGAATATAACAAATTGAAGGCATCCACGCTAACTTTGCACGTAACAAATCGAAAAGCTTAAAGCCACATTATTAATAAATTATGTGTTTGAAAAAATTGCGAGATATATTGAGTAAGAAAATTTCTGAAATCGAGTTTTCATTTTTGTTTATTTTTGTTGTTGTTTGAAACATATAACTTTTTTCGGTTCATTTGATGAATTAAAAATGCATCAACTGTGTTAACTGATTACTATTCAAATGTCGAAGCACATGCTATCAAAAAGCTATAAAGGTGCCCCAACATGATTGTGCCGTAAGTAAACAGAAAAAAAAACACTGACTTGTTTTTTTGAAAAATCTCAACTTTCTAAATTCAAAGAAAACAAGACTGTTCGTATCTGGGTGAAGCCGTGAATGTTCTAATTGCCTTTTCATTTGATGGAGTAGTGTAAGGAGTAATTTGTTTCCGTTTTTTTTTAAATCATCCCCTTACACGTAAAGTGCATCCCCCTACAAGTAAAGTGCAGAAAATATATTTCGACTGTAGCAAAGTATTAATTAGCCTGCCTCAGTCCAATTTGAAACAATTGCTAAGATAGATCAAATCTCCCCTTACGCGTTGACAGCGCGAAAGAAATATCGCGTTATTTAACACAAAATGGGCAAATTACCAATCTTTAAACTCCAATAACTGTACGAAAAAAGATAACAGGTGAAACATTTTTTTAAAATTTGAGCTCATAACAACAATACTTTTCGAATGATGAATGAAAAAATTCGTCAAGAATAGCTTCTTAAACAGTCAAAATTTGTCTGGAGCAAAAGAAACCACCCCGTGCACAAATAATCCGTCAATTTCTTCAAAAATAGTCGAAACAAAAAATATGGCCTTGAAGCTCTTTGAAACTCAATTCATAACATTCAGAACAAGTCAGAACAATTCATGACTGAAACTTTTTTGATAAAACTAGCCCAAACTCTGAAAATTGAATCCCACTTTCAAACTAAAAGTCAATCACGTTTTTCGTGACCTTTAAACTTTCGAAGTCGAACCGCCAAAAAGTAAGTTTTAGACTGAACAAATTTGAGACTTTTCTTGAATAAAAAAAAAACGAAAAAAAAAGCATCGTGACCTACATAAGAGTCTGAACTACGTTCATCGACTCTTAAAACCAAAAATTATAGGTTGAGTTGTCTTATTTAGTGTATTCTATAGTACCTTGGCAGCCCACATTTCGGGCACTTTGTTGATGAAGAGGTTGTTGGACAGCTTCTCCAGTTCGAAGCTCATCACCACCAGTCCCTTCAGCGCCTTCCTCAGAGAACCCAAGCTAGAGTGGATAGTCGACAGCAGGCGGTTGTACCTGCACAACACAAACAACTCAATCACATTCAGAGCAATTTCTTTTAAATTAAGCTAAGGAATTTTTGAAGTACTCGAAAAACTGACGAGAACTACAAACATTCAAAGTGGGTTTGAATCCAATTTTGAATCCAAAACGGTTTTTTTTCCGTTTTGAGCTCAGTGCTATGAGAAGTTTGAAAAATTTTCGTCAATAATTTAAAAGCAATCATTTTATATAACGGTAAACAAACACTATGAAGATAAGCGGATCTAGGATCTTCTCGAAAGGAGGTGGGACCTATTTTATAGTGCTTATTGTTTTAATAAGTACTACAAAGCTGTTTTGGGTTGGCTTGTTTCTACCAAGATTAATATCAGTAAATACAAAAATAAAGCAAGAGCATTGTGAGACTGACCTTATGACCTCTTGCACCAGTACAGTGTTCATCGACTCCTCGTACATGACAGGGTACTGCTGCAGCACCTCCTTCGCGTCCAGTGGGTGGGGCACCCTGTCCAGTATGGCAACCGCTGCCGCCTCTATGATCTATGACAGGGAATCTATCAGTATTAAGGCTAATTATAAACTAGATAGGCTGCTCTTAGTAAGACTTAGCGTGACTTAGAACAACCCTGAAAAGTGAAGAATTCTTAAATTAGAACAACTAAAACTTACCGTTGGAATTATACGTCCGTCCAATGGCATGAAGTTGAAGAAGAAAAATCAAGAAGACCTGCTTTTTGGTTGAGACATAATTTGTGGTCCGTGAAACATGTTGGAAAATTTACCAGCAAAATCTGAATTTAATATGAAGACTCGACTGTCATGAATGGATGATCAACAGCGTCTTTATATGAAAAACTTAGTCTACTATGAATCAAACCTCTTTGTTTTCTCCCTGAGAAGATTAAAAAATATCGTGATTGCAGAAAGACCAGTGAAACATTTGAAAAAATATTTTATAATAAATTGGAGATTTTGAAATGATCATTGGCTTTAGAGGATTGCTGACTTGTAAAATGAGTTAAGAAGGAAATTAATTGAATTTGAAAAAATTTTACCATGCATTTTTGAAATTTCGTACGAGTATGTGAGAAATTTGTCGGCAAAGCAGATAGCTATTTCTGCATTCAAAATTAATCAAAAATCTTAAATTGGTCGTTTTTTATTTCACTTTATCTATCCAATGTTTTGCCCTATGCTACAATGAGAGTAAGACATGTTTACCTCTTCTGGACTTTGGCCGCCTCCCGATCTGGTCTTGGGTTGTAGCTTCACTATGGCTGCCAGCACATTGAATGTCTCGTTCTGGGCGAAGGTGATGTTGGCGTTGTCGTGCAGGCCGAATATCTCCGGAGTGTCGTTGATAGGGAGACTCTTCACATATTGGAGGCAGCCCTAAGAAGAAAGTATTGAAGTATTTTAGAGATAAACTAATAAATTGCTTCCAGTATAGATCAGTATCGTATAATTCATCAAATGAATTTTTATGAATAATCGAATCATAAGAGAACCCAATTTGAGAGATCGTCATGAGACAAATTATGTCTGCTTTGAGACGTCTCTGAGCGCAAAAAAAACTTAGAAACTTAAGATGCGTTTTATCCCAGATGATAACTCCCAGATGCCAAATATTGACAAAAAGAACTTCATTTTAGAAACTCTTGCTTCGGTATGTCTTAAACAGTTCCGGGTACTCAAGCAGCTCTTGGAACTCTGTTTTGTACTAGCAAAGTGTTGAAAATTGGTGCTGATATGTTATTTATCTACCAATTTATAGACTCAATTCCCAGGAAAATAGACCTAATTCACTGTTACTATCGAACATGACCACGTTCAATGTTTTCGTTCAGATCCTCTCATCACACCACGAACAAATCACGGAAACTTCAAAAATAAACTGTTTTTGTTTTATAGTTTTTTCATAAATGTGGTCGGAACTTTCTGTGGTACATTCTGCATTCAAAAGTTGTTTTTTTTACACGATATTTTATATTGGTATTTCTCTAATTTAGAGCAGTGTTTTATATTGTTGTTGTTGTTAAATATATCTACACCAGTCTTGGTTTTGAGCTACAGTTTAAAGTGTAGACATCGCTTTATGAGTTACATTGAAGTAGTGCTACTGAATTACATCAAATGATGGCTTACGTTGTGGTCCATCTCCGTGTTGATCTGGTAGTAGGTGCCGGACTCTGAGAACTTGTGGTGCTCCTGGAGCACCCGTTCATTGTAATAGTCTGCCAGTATGTTCATCATGCATCTCCTGTCCCAGTCATCTGTCACTCTACCCCCGTAGTTGATGTGTCCTGCCGTGTAAGACAACACCTGCAACATACACAATGAAAATTATTTTCTGAGATAATCTCGAGATATTCAGATCCGCCTTAGATAGTATTTGTGTAAGACAACACCTGCAACATACACAAATGAAACTTATTTTCTGAGATAATCTCGAGATCATCGGATCCGCCTTAGATAGTATTTCATCATAAAATCATTTCGAAACTAGGGAACAAAAACATGTAAAATATGACATATGACATGAAAAACGACGTTAAAAAGACTCAAAAAATTAAGAGGTGAGCTCCATTTACACCGTCCAGCCTTTATTTTGTATGAGCTCATAAAAAATGATATTCTGATCTAAACATTGGTTTTGCAGCGCAAGGAAACCGAATAAGCTGTAAATGAACATGTGGTCAAGGTCACTAGGCTTTATTTAGTTAAAATTCATCATGTGAACAAAAAAATTTAAAAAAAAAACAAAATCATATTTCAAAGGAACTTAAAAATAACTATTGTGCAATTCGGCCTTTTGTGTTGCCTTTTGTGCAGATCGGCCAGTTGAAATATTATTTGTATACTAACTGGCTCTCGACTTATAATTGGCATCGGAATATATATATAATATTAAAACAAACAAATTGGCCAACGAATTGCAATTTTATTTTCTTCCGATTATTATCCACCGATAGCTCAGTTGGTAGAGCGGAGGACTGTAGAGTAAACTGTAATCCTTAGGTCCCTGGTTCGAGTCCGGGTCGGCGGAGAAGTTTTACATTCCAAAAAAAAAACATTTCGGTTTCCTTTCAACTCTGTTTCGCGATTGGACATAAGCGGAATTAATCTGCATTTTACTGGTAAATGCAAAATTCTTGGCAATATTTCGAGCTCGTATAAAAAAAATAGATTTTTTGACGCTTAGATAGTATTTGATCATAAAATCAGTCTAATCAAATACCCAATAAATGTAAATTATGACTAGTGACCTGAAAAGCGACGTGAAAAATAGTCTCAAAAGAGCAAGATTTCGTTTTGAATCAGCCAGAAGTAAAATTGAAATTAAAATTAAGAAATGTAAAAAAAGTTTTACTGTAATAAGTTCAAAAATTGTATTGGTGATTCAAGGAGAGTATACAAATTAGTAAATGATTTAAAGGGTATAACAAATCATCAAGTAGAACAATAGTTTCGGTAAATGAAAGTAGTGGCGACGTTGTTAGCGATAAACTAGCTGTCGCAAATGAGTTCAAGGACTTCTTTTCTTCTATTGGCAGTCATTTAGCTAATCAAATACCCAAATTAGTATTTCATTTTTATCAACTTTATTCAGAGCCTCGTTTTTGCATGCGTTTAAATTCAATCACTGAATATGAAGTTGAAGTCATTTTTTCAGCGCTACAAAACAAATTATCTTCTGGAATAGATGGAATTAGAAATCTAATTGCTAAAGTTAGTTCTTTCACAATCGTTCCCTTCCTGAAAAAACTCATTGAACTATCCTTTAAATCAGGGTGTTTTCCTACCGCTCTGACTCAAGCGGTAGTATATCCTTTATACAAAGCAGGATCGAAATTGGATGTCAGTAACTATCGGCCAATATCAATTCTTGTAACCTGGAGTAAGGTATCTGAACGTGCAATGTACAACCGAGTGTATAGCTATCTTGAAGCAAACTCACTAATTTATATCAAACAGTTCAGTTTCCGAAAAAAAAACACAGTACTGTTGATGCTATTGCCGAAGTAAGAGAGAAATGTCGCTTAGATAAAACTAAATTACCAAACAGAACAGTTTTTCTTGATTTAAAAAACGCTTTTGACACACTGGATCACGAAATTCTTTTTTATAAGTTAGAAATGTATGGGTGTCAGTGCGAAAAGTCTACTTCGGTTTAAAAGTTACTTGAATAACCGCGAACAACTTGTCCAAATTGGTGAAACGCGATCAACTTGGCAAAATCTTGAATGTGGTGTCCCACAGGAATCCATTTTGGGGCCTCTGCTGTTTCTTATATATATATATAAACGACCTTCCAACAGTCTGTAAACATTTTTTCTATTTGCCAACGACACAAACGTCACTGGACTAACTGCTCGGTTGAGAGCTTCAATCAAGACTTAGAAGCTATAAATAAATGGTTATTTTTGAATAAATTATCTCTAAATATGGACGAAACGGTACAAATTAGTGTATCTCTTAACAGTGCTTCCAACCAGCAATTGTTTATTAATAGCATTCCATTAAAAATTTAAGGGTCATGCATATCTTGGTGTTTATGTAGATGCTAAATTATCATTTAATTCTCACATTCATTTCATACTATCGAAGCTTACAAAACAATGTGGCATTGTTTTGAAAGTGCGTCATTATGTTCCCGAAACTGTTATGATTGATTATTATGACTCTAATATTAAGCCCATTTTGCAGTATGGAATATTAGTGTATGGTTGCGCTTCCTACACAAACCTTTTACCCTTTTTTTTTTAATCCAAAAAAAATATTCGATTTATTTTTTTCAAAAGAAAACATGAAAGCATTCGATAAGTTTTTAATGATGAAAAATTTTTAACAGTTCACGAGCTGCATGTGCATGAACTCCTCAAATTCGTTTTCCGATCATTAGCAGGACTACACTCTGAAATTTTTAAAACGAACTTTTTGTATTTGATAAACCGTCGTATATGACCAGAAGGTCAAATCTTAATCTAATGAAAATTCCTAATTTCAATAGCAAAATTCAAAGAGCTTCAATTAGTTACAGAGGAGCTAAGCTCTTTAATATACTTAGAAAAAATTCTCTAATTCCAAAATTTTTGATCAAGTTTCAAAGTCAGATATTCAACGCATTGCCCACGAAATTCGGGATTTGTTTATATTAAGCAATGAAGAGCTAATCAAATGTGTTTTTTGTTGACAATTTTTTTTGTGGATGCAAGGATAAAGCTGGACGATGACAGATGTGGAGTGCCTGCTTGTTTGAAGTTTTTTCTAAGTATATATGTATATGGTTTTCAATGCGTCTTAGGCGTTTTGAAGGCCACGCTTGTTCGCTGGTTACTGTCGCATGGGCTCAGTTGGATGTCTACTGACTGTTTAGCCCCCAATCAGCCCTGCTGATGTTAGAGAGGCTTCAAGGGATGGAACACAGTTAGTAGAAGCAGTAACCGTAAAGGGAACAAGCTGAAATTTTGTTTTTGAAACCGAATAGGGGTGCCTACGACTAGCGAGTTTCAGAAATTATGAGTGATGAATTTGAACTAGCTTCTTCTTTAATTTGGTTTTATACCGACTACGATTGAACAATCACTTTAAATACTGATACAGAGCTTGGACCTTATGTCATTAACCTGTCTAGACAATGCCTTAAATCTGCTGCTGTATGTTTATTCAAACTTGAGTTTTTTTTTCCAATTTCTTCTTTTATGTTTTCAGATTTATATATTTTTTCTTGTCTTTGAAGATCACAAATTTGTCTTTCATTTGATAAAGACGGGCAGTGCTGTGTAACCAAATTGGGTTCGTGAACTGTCCCCTCACTGTTTCTGGTGGTTCATATTTAAATTCTCTTTATATGCAAATTTACCATTAACAATGAAAAATAAATTCTTTCTTCTTCTTTCCTCAAAAGATTAGGAGGTGAGCTCCACCTTAATCAATTGATTTTATACAAAATTAAAATTTGGCAAATTATATAAATTGTATCAACTCATCTTTAAATGTTTCATTTTAAATTGGATTAGACTCAATTTGATAGTTGATAGTAACTCGAAAAAAATTACCTTGGTAAAAAAAATGAGCTATGAACGTGAAACGATGACCGAGGAAGGTGTCACTTGCCTTATATGGAATGATAGGGTACTCCATGAGGAACATCTTCAACTGGGAGAGACAGATCCTGAGATCTCCGTCAGTGTACTCATAGGGGATGTTGAATCCCAGGGGTCCAAACTTCCTCCTCTCCAGTAGTGCCCCGTGGAACAGGCAGAGTGAGAACACGAGTGATTTGAACTCGTGAGTCTGAACATTAAGCACATTTTAGATATGAGCAAGCAGGAAAAGTCGGGAAACTGAGCGACTGATGTCTAGTAAAGATATTTGAGGCGTCGAAGTACTCATTATTGGTTCGCATTCGATATAAGCCTGGAATCCGGTTATAATAATGATTTACATTAATTGGGTTCCAAATTAAATAAGCCTGAATCCAACGGCAATTGAGTTGTAATGACATGCCCGTGTAATGGGACTGACCTTTTCCTCGGTGGAGTTGAGGAGGTCGTCGTTGAGGGAGAGATAGGACTTGAGCAGGTTGGCCTTGATGCCTTTTGGGGGCTCAACTGTCATTTTGGAGCTGTTCTGCAGCACCGCCACTGGGAACTTCGGACTCGGCATGCTACACAAAAACAACACAACTTGAAAAAAAAAAACAAATTATGTGGATCTATGTCCATCACAATTACAAATCTCGAAAGATGACGTTTCTCGCAAGGATCTTGAAAGAGGTCGGTAATCTTGTAAGAATTTTGCAAATTAACCCTCTTTGATTGACTAGGGGCGGTTTTCTCGATAAAGGATTACGACTCGCATTATGCTCTCGACATACACAAGAGCACATTTACCTGTCTTCAGACAGTTATTAACTAGTGAAATATCTGTAATTGCAAAAATTGATGATCTGACCTGGTCAGCCACAGTCGGAAGTCCCTGTGGACCTTGTCCGGGTCTATCTGCTCGATCATCCTCTCCAGAGAGGGCATCCACGAGGGCGCCAGATGACAGTTCTGGAAGAACACCCATCTACCCCGCTCTATCGCACTCCTCGCCAGACCTGGAAGCAAGTGAGGACGTTGAAAGTTTTTTATAGACATAAATGTATGAGCTAACCAGATTTTTGGTGACATTTAATACATCAGAAACATTGAGATGGAGCTGTACTAATCAGATGGTTTTGTACACCTCATATAATAAAAATACTGATTTAAACGTTGGTTTCACAGCGCCAGGAAATCAAATTAGCTGTAAATGAACATGCGGTCAAGGTCATCATGCCGTATTCAGTTAAAAACTCATCAAGTGAACAAAATAAGAAAAAAATCAAAAGCTGTTTCGAAGAAACTTCAAAAAAAATCGGCCTTTTTGCATAAAATATCCGCTGTAACTAACTGACTCTCAAGTTTTTATAGGCATCCGAATAATTATTTCTATCACAACAAAAAAAATTGGCCGACGAGTTGAGATTTTATACAGCAAGTTTATGCATCCGCCGATAGCTCAGTTGGTAGAGCGGAGGACTGTAGAAGTGCAAGTAATCCTTAGGTCCCTGGTTCGAGTCCGGGTCGTCGGAGAACTTTTTGACATTTTATACCTCAGCAACAATGAGATAAAGCTGTACAAATCAGATGATTTTGTACACTTCATATGAAAACAAACTTCTGATTTTAAACGTTGGTTTTACAGCGCCACAGGAAACCAAAAAAGCTGTGATTGAACATGCCGTCAAGATTATCATGCCGTATTCAGTTAAAAACTCATCAAGTGAACAACATAGGAAAAAAATCAAAAGCTGTTTCGAAGGAACTTCAAAAAAAATCGGCCTTTTTGCATAAAATATCCGTTGTAACTATCTGGCTCTCTAGTTTTTATAGACATCCGAATAATTATTTCTATCACAACAAAAACATTGGCCGACGATTTGACATTTTATACAGCAACGTTATTCATCCGCCGATAGCTCAGTTGATAGAGCGTATGACTGTAGAAGTGCACGTAATCCTTAGCTCCCTGGTTCGCGTCCGGGTCGGTTGAGAACTTTTTGACATTTCATACACCAGCAACATTGAGATGAAGCTGTACTAATCAGATGATTTTGTACACTTCATATAAAAACAAACTTCTGATTTTAACGTTGGTTTTACAGCGCCAGGAAACCAAAGAAGTTGTGAATAAACATGCCGTCAAGGTCATCATGCCGCATTTAGTTAAAAATTTATCAAGAGAACAAAATAGGAAGAAAAAAATCAAAAGCTGTTTCGAAGGAACTTCAAAAATTAATATCGGCCTTTTTTGCATAAAATATATGTTGTATACTAACTGGCTCTCTAGTTTTTATAGGCATCCGAATAATTATTTCTATCACAACAAAAAATTGGCCGACGAGTTGAGATTTTATACAGCAAGTTTATGCATCCGCCGATAGCTCAGTTGGTAGAGCGGAGGACTGTAGAAGTGCAAGTAATCCTTAGGTCCCTGGTTCGAGTCCGGGTCGGCGGAGAACTTTTTGACATTTTATACCTCAGCAACAATGAGATAAAGCTGTACAAATCAGATGATTTTGTACACTTCATATGAAAACAAACTTCTGATTTTAAACGTTGGTTTTACAGCGCCACAGGAAACCAAAAAAGCTGTGATTGAACATGCCGTCAAGATTATCATGCCGTATTCAGTTAAAAACTCATCAAGTGAACAACATAGGAAAAAAATCAAAAGCTGTTTCGAAGGAACTTCAAAAAAAATCGGCCTTTTTGCATAAAATATCCGTTGTAACTATCTGGCTCTCTAGTTTTTATAGACATCCGAATAATTATTTCTATCACAACAAAAACATTGGCCGACGATTTGACATTTTATACAGCAACGTTATTCATCCGCCGATAGCTCAGTTGATAGAGCGTATGATTGTAGAAGTGCACGTAATCCTTAGCTCCCTGGTTCGCGTCCGGGTCGGTTGAGAACTTTTTGACATTTCATACACCAGCAACATTGAGATGAAGCTGTACTAATCAGATGATTTTGTACACTTCATATAAAAACAAACTTCTGATTTTAACGTTGGTTTTACAGCGCCAGGAAACCAAAGAAGTTGTGAATAAACATGCCGTAAAGGTCATCATGCCGCATTTAGTTAAAAATTTATCAAGAGAACAAAATAGGAAGAAAAAAATCAAAAGCTGTTTCGAAGGAACTTCAAAAATTAATATCGGCCTTTTTTGCATAAAATATATGTTGTATACTAACTGGCTCTCTATTTTTTTTGGCATTTTAATAATTATTTCTATTACAACAAACAAATAGGCCGACGAGTTGAGATTTTATATTGCAAGTGTATTCATTCGTCGATAGCTGATTTGGTAGAGCGGAGGATTGTAGAAGTGCAAGTAACCCTTAGGTCCCTGGTTCGAGTCCGGGTCGGCGGAGAACTTTTTGAAATTCTATACATCAGCAACAATGAGATAAAGCTGTACAAATCAGATGATTTTGTACACTTCATATAAAAACAAACTTCTGATTTAAACGTTGGTTTTACAGCGCCACAGGAAACCAAAAAAGCTGTGAATGAACATGCCGTCAAGGTTATCATGCCGTATTCAGTTAAAAACTCATCAAAGAACAAAGTAAGAAAAAAACCAAAAGCTGTTTCGAAGGAACTTCAAAAAAAAATCGGCCTTTTTGCATAAAATATCCGTTGTAACTAACTGGCTTTCTAGTTTTTATAGGCATCCGAATAATTATTTCTATCACAGCAGAAAAAATGGCCGACGAGTTGAGATTTTATACAGCAAGTTTATCTATCCGCCGATAGCTAAGTTGGTGGAGCGGAGGACTGTAGAAGTGCATGTAATCCTTAGGTCCCTGGTTCAAGTCCGGGTCGGCGGAGAAATTTTTGAGATTTTATACTTCAGCAGCAATGAGATGAAGCTGTACAAATCAGACGATTTTGTAGACTTCATATAAAAACAAACTTCTGATTTTTAACGTTGGTTTTACAGCGCCAGGAAACCAAAGAAGCTGTGAATAAACATGCCGTCAAGGTCATCATGCCGCATTTAGTTAAAAATTTATCAAGAGAACAAAATAGGAAGAAAAAAATCAAAAGCTGTTTCGAAGGAACTTCAAAAATTAATATCGGCCTTTTTTGCATAAAATATATGTTGTATACTAACTGGCTCTCTATTTTTTTTGGCATTTTAATAATTATTTCTATTACAACAAACAAATAGGCCGACGAGTTGAGATTTTATATTGCAAGTGTATTCATTCGCCGATAGCTGATTTGGTAGAGCGGAGGATTGTAGAAGTGCAAGTAACCCTTAGGTCCCTGGTTCGAGTCCGGGTCGGCGGAGAAATTTTTGAGATTTTATACTTCAGCAGCAATGAGATGAAGCTGTACAAATCAGACGATTTTGTAGACTTCATATAAAAACAAACTTCTGATTTAAACGTTTGTTTTACAGCGCCACAGGAAACCAAAAAAGCTATGAATGAACATGCCGTCAAGGTTATCATGCCGTATTCAGTTAAAAACTCATCAAAGAACAAAGTAAGAAAAAAAACAAAAGCTGTTTCGAAGGAACTTCAAAAAAAAATCAGCCTTTTTTGCATAAAATATCCGTTGTAACTAACTGGCTTTCTAGTTTTTATAGGCATCCGCATAATTATTTCTATCACAACAGAAAAAATGGCCGACGAGTTGAGATTTTATACAGCAAGTTTATCTATCCGCCGATAGCTAAGTTGGTGGAGCGGAGGACTGTAGAAGTGCATGTAATCCTTAGGTCCCTGGTTCGAGTCCGGGTCGGCGGAGCAATTTTTGAGATTTTATACTTCAGCAGCAATGAGATGAAGCTGTACAAATCAGACGATTTTGTAGACTTCATATAAAAACAACTTTTGATTTTAACGTTGGTTTTACAGCGCCAGGAAACCAAAGAAGCTGTGAACAAACATGCCGTCAAGGTCATCATGCCGCATTTAGTTAAAAACTTATCAAGAGAACAAAATAAGAAGAAAAAAATCAAAAGCTGTTTCGAAGGAACTTCAAAAATTAATATCGGCCTTTTTTTGTATAAAATATATGTTGTATACTAACTGGCTCTCTTTTTTATAGGCATTTTATTAATTATTTCTATTACAACAAACAAATAGGCCGACGAGTTGAGATTTTATATTGCAAGTGTATTCATTCGCCGATAGCTGATTTGGTAGAGCGGAGGACTGTAGAAGTGCAAGTAACCCTTAGTTCCCTGGTTCGAGTCCGGGTCGGCGGAGAACTTTTTGAAATTCTATACATCAGCAACAATGAGATAAAGCTGTACAAATCAGATGATTTTGTACACTTCATATGAAAACAAACTTCTGATTTAAACATTGGTTTTACAGCGCCACAGGAAACCAAAAAAGCTGTGAATGAACATGCCGTCAAGATTATCATGCCGTATTCAGTTAAAAACTCATCAAGTGAACAACATAGGAAAAAATCAAAAGCTATTTTGAAGGAACTTCAAAAAAAATCGGCCTTTTTGCATAAAAGATCCGTTGTAAATAACTGGCTCTCTAGTTTTTATAGACATCCGTATAATTATTTCTATCACAACAAAAACATTGGCCGACGATTTGACATTTTATATAGCAACGTTATTCATCCGCCGATAGCTCAGTTGGTAGAGCGAATGACTGTGGAAGTGCATGTATTCCTTAGCTCCCTGGTTCGCGTCCGGGTCGGTTGAGAACTTTTTGACATTTTATACACCAGCAACAATGAGATGAAGCTGTACTAATCAGATGATTTTGTACACTTCATATAAAAACAAACTTCTGATTTTAACGTTGGTTTTACAGCACCAGGAAACCAAAAAGGCTGTGAATAAACATGCCGTCAAGGTCATCATGCCGCATTTAGTTAAAAATTTATCAAGAGAACAAAATAAGAAGAAAAAAATCAAAAGCTGTTTCGAAGGAACTTCAAAAAAATCGGCCTTTTTTGCATAAAATATCCGTTGTAACTAACTGGCTCTCTAGTTTTTATAGGCATCCGAATAATTATTTCTATCACAACAGAAAAAATGGCCGACGAGTTGAGATTTTATACAGCAAGTTTATGTATCCGCCGATAGCTCAGTTGGTAGAGCGGAGGACTGTAGAAGTGCATGTAATCCTTAGGTCCCTGGTTCGAGTCCGGGGCGGCGTAGAACTTTTTGACATTTTATACACAAGCAACAATGAGATGAAGCTGTACTAATCAGATGATTTTGTACACTTCATATAAAAACAAACTTCTGATTTTTAACGTTGGTTTTACAGCGCCAGGAAACCAAAGAAGCTGTGAATAAACATGCCGTCAAGGTTATCATGCCGTATTCAGGTAAAAACTCATCAATAGAACAAATTAAGAAAAAAACCAAACGCTGTTTCGAAGGAACTTCAAAAAAATCGGCCTTTTTTGCATAATATATCCGTTATAACTAACTGGCTCTCTAGTTTTTATAGGCATCCGAATAATTATTTCTATCACAAGAGAAAAAATGGCCGACGAGTTGTGATTTTATACAGCAAGTTTATGATTCCGCCGATAGCTCAGTTGGTAGAGCGGAGGACTAGAAGTAGTACATATAATCCTTAGGTCCCTGGTTCGAGTACGGTTCGGCGGAGAAATTTTTGAGATTTTATACTTCAGCAGCAATGAGATGAAGCTGTACAAATCAGACGATTTTGTAGACTTCATATAAAAACAAACTTCTGATTTTTAACGTTGGTTTTACAGCGCCAGGAAACCAAAGAAGCTGTGAATAAACATGCCGTCAAGGTCATCATGCCGCATTTAGTTAAAAATTTATCAAGAGAACAAAATAAGAAAAAAATCAAAAGCTGTTTCGAAGGAACTTCAAAAATTAATATCGGCCTTTTTTGTACAAAATATATGTTGTATACTAACTGGCTCTCTATTTTTTATAGGCATCCGAATAATTATTTCTATTACAACAAACAAATTGGCCGACGAGTTGAGATTTTATACTGCAAGTTTATTCATTCGCCGATAGCTGATTTGGTAGAGCGGAGGACTGTAGAAGTGCATGTAATCCTAAGGTCCCTGGTTCGAGTCCGGGTCCGCGGAGAACGTGTTGACATTTTATACATCAGCAACAATGAGATGAAGCTGTACTAATCAGATGATTTTGTACACTTCATACAAAAAGAAATTTCTCATTTAAACGTTGATTTTACAGTGCCAGGAAACCAAATAAGCTGTGAATGAACATGCCGTCAAAGTTATCATGCCGTATTCAGTTAAAAACTCATCAATTGAACAAAATAGGAAAAAAATCAAAAGCTCTTCTGAAGGAACTTCAAAAAAATCGGCCTTTTTTGCATAAAATATCCGTTGTAACTAACTGGCTCTCTAGTTTTTATAGGCATCCGCATAATTATTTCTATCACGACAAAAAAATTGGCCGACGAGGTGAGATTTTATACAGCAATTGTATTCTTCCGCCGATAGCTCAGTTGGTAGAGCGGAGGACTGTAGAAGAGCATGTAATCCTTAGGTCCCTGGTTCGAGTCCGCGGAGAACGTGTTGACATTTTATACATCAGCAACAATGAGATGAAGCTGTACTAATCAGATGATTTTGTACACTTCATATAAAAAGAAATTTCTCATTTAAACGTTGATTTTACAGTGCCAGGAAACCAAATAAGCTGTGAATGAACATGCCGTCAAGGTTATCATGCCGTATTCAGTTAAAAACTCATCAATTGAACAAAATAGGAAAAAATCAAAAGCTGTTTCGAAGGAACTTCAAAAAAATCGGCCTTTTTTGCATAAAATATCCGTTGTAACTAACTGGCTCTCTAGTTTTTATAGGCATCCGCATAATTATTTCTATCACAACAAAAAAATTGGTCGACGAGTTGACATTTTATACAGCAAGTATATTCATCTGCCGATAGCTCAGTTGGTAGAGCGGAGGACTGTAGAAGTGCATGTGATCCTTAGGTCACTGGTTCGAGTCCGGGTCGGCGGAGAACTTTTTGATATTTTATACATCAGCAACAATGAGATGAAGCTGTAATAATCAGATGATTTTGTACACTTCATATAAAAGTAAATTTCTGATTTAAACGTTGGTTTTACAGCGCCAGGAAACCAAATAAGCTGTGAATGAACATGCCGTCAAGGTTATCACGCCGTATTCAGTTAAAAAAACATATCAAGTGAACAAAATAAGAAAAAAATCAAAAGCTGTTTCAAAAGGACTTCAAAAAAAATCGGCCTTTTTTGCATAAAACATCCGTTGTAACTAACTGGCTCTCTAGTTTTTATAAGCATCCGAATAATTGTTTCTATCACAACAAAAAAATTGGCCGACGAGTTGAGATTTTATACAGCAATATGATGCATCCGCCGATAGCTCAATTGGTAGAGCGGAGGACTGTAGAAGTGCATGAAATCCTTAGGTCCGTGGTTCGAGTCCGCGTCGGCTGAGAACTTGTTTTTACATTTCAAACTTCACTACAAAAAAACTCTGATTCGCGATTGAAGACAAGCGGAATTAATCTGCATTTTACTGGCGAATGCCAAATTCATGGCAATACTTCTGACGTTTGAGCTCTTTATTGAATCAGAAAACAGTATGTATAGTTCAAATAGATTTTTTTCCTTGCAATCCATAAAAAAAATGATTTTTTTTTTTACCTCAAAGGTTTTTTGTTTCAATGAACTTCCAGATTCGCTGATCTTCAATGATATTTACCAAGAACGCTAGTACATTATAAGTTTATCATCGTCCCTTCGTTTTTACGTATACACGTACCTTCTGCCACCGGGCCCTGTCCCTGTCCGAGGGAGATGGAGTTGAACTTCTTGGCCATCCTCATCTCCTCTGCGAACTTGTTCAGATCGGCCGCCGGGTCAGTGCCGGTGGACAGCACGAAGATCAGGGGCGTGGTTGGGGAGGAGTCCTTGTACACCAGACTCAGATCAGTCGTCTAATCAAACAAACAAACAAAAACAAAATGATACAGGGTGGTAAACAGGGTTTGAACGATCCAAAAATATAGGGCGAGGAAGTATGTCCAGATATCATAATTATTATTTTTCACATTCAATCACGTTATTGGTCAAAATTGGATTCAAATGCAGATCAAGATAACGCGTTTGTATATTGAATACTATTTTTGGAGTCCACACAATATGTACCTGTGGCTCTATGAACTTCTGTCCGAGATTGGCGGCCACGAAGTCCTGCATGGCGTTAGTGACCATGTCTGCCCGGAGACATTTGAGCACCACTAGCTTCTGGAACATGCTCAATTGGTCATTCCACTTGCCTGCAAACAAATAAAAAAATGATCAGTTGTAGCCAAAAACTGCGTCGGAAAGTAACAAGTTTTTTGTCTATTCGTGTTTTTTAACGTTTCTGGAATCTTGGGAAAAAATGATTTACATTAAATTACTCATACACAATTGCTCCCACAAAAGAAAAAACATTACATGTCATTTTGCTTCGATTGGTAGCTTCTGGATTTCTAATTAGTCATTTTTGGGTTCATATCGAATGATAAGTTATTAATGAGCTCCTAGTTGTAAATAAAGAGCTTCACTTCAAAAATCAAATTGAAAAAGCAATTACCAAAAAAACAAAGCCCAAGTCCTCTTATAACTACACAAAAAAAATCTGAAAGAGAAAACTGCAAGAACTGGAACGTCGTGAAATGGGACGTGAAAACCTCGTGAAATGGGACTCCAATTCAATTTTTTATAAATCATTACCTGGGAGTGGTTCCCTGTGGGGTTCGTTGCTGTCAAAAATAGCCTTGTATCCGTCCAGGTGGTCTTTGAAATCAACAGTTATCTCCTGGAATGCGGGAAGTGCAGAGAGGGTGATGCAGTCTCCCCATCCTCTGTCTGAGAGCCAGTCGGGGGAGGGGTTGGGCAGTTCGGCCCCCCTCTTCGTACCTCCCGAGATGAAGAAGCGCCACTCCTCGGGGTCAATGAGTCCATCGTTCATCATGATTCTACGACATTCGACAGGTCATCAAATGACTCTTGGGTTTGAAAAAAAAACGAAAAATTTGAAAAAAGATTCATCCACCACGAGGAAATTAACTGCCAGCAATTGAAAGTCACCAGGTGTTTCACGAGTCCACAAAAAGATTATCCTTACCATGGTGTGATTGATTAAACCGCGAAGGAGTAAGCAGGTTTGGCCAATCTTTAAAAGATGAAGATGTAGAAAGGTAAGGATTAACACTCGCAAAGGCTAAGGGTCAACTTCAAGTACAATCCTCATAAAGGCACTTTTAAAACATTTTCAAGATTGGCACAGCGAGTTAAAAATTTTCGGGCTAAATTTGATGGACGAGACAAACAACCTCTTCCGGTGGCAGACAATTTTAGCGGACATTTTTTTATGAGCGCTTAAAAACCCAAGCGTATCTTAATGCTGACGAGTAAAATTAGTATGTAGTTGTTGTCGATTATTGACAAAGAAAGTTTGCTACTATAATTTGAGAGAGACTGACCTGATGGCGAGAAGGAAGGCGAACATGAGTTTGTGTTTCTCGAAGAGACTCCTGCACACATTGATGTAGAGGTTGTAGGTGAAGTAGTTGTTGATGTTCTCTATCCGCTGACTCACCGTCTCCGCCCTCTCCGCATTCGCAATGCCTAACAAAACAAAACAGAATTTTTCAGTCAAAAACATCATTTGAGGGGGGTGGAGTCAACAGAAACACGGCAAGAAGACAAACGTTCCATAGTGGCAATTAGATGTATCTTGAAAACGTTACATTAACTTCATTTCGGAAAAAAAGGAACCGAGATTGTCAATGATTATAATTTGAAAATAGCAAAAACTGGTCGTAGTGCTACTTTTTGAGACACTGACAATTAACGTTAAACCGAAGCTGTTACAAAAATCACCCGAAAAGACGTTTATTAATAGAAAGTTGGGTAAAATCAAAGCCCAAATAAGGTTTATCCTTAGTTTTTGGTGTTTTTCTGAACGATGTGATAGCAACCTCTTGACACAGAGGGCAAATTTCAAAACAAAGGCGAAGCTGCGCTTCGCAAAACTAGCGACAAAACGACAAAAAAAGCAGCTCTATAAACTGAAACAAGAAAAATTAGAAATAAGCCTTAAATTACAAAAACTTTTGCTATGCGACAGATTCGAATCAGCGACCTCAAGACTAAGAGTCTCACGTCTTTCCAAATCGTCTACGTCCGGGTACATATTAACAACACTAGCCAAAAATAAAGCAGAGAACAGACGGTATGAAATTTCCCATGCTAGAGATCATGATTATAGCAAAAGTGCCACCTAATTGAGCACTTTTGTTTGCAAGTTAGTTAGAAAAAAAGTATGTTCATACTAATACACTAAGCTCGCAATATTGCTAGTGTGAAAATGTGCTTCAATCAAGCAGTTACAGATGTGCTTGATAGTGGTGTGCGTTGTCGTATAGTAATGGCTGATACAAATAATTTGAACGACAAGCAACAGCCCCTTATGCTCTCGCTAGAAACAATGACAAATAAGTTTTTAGAAAACCGTTATTGATGTTATGGCATCACGGTCACAATAATGGCACTTGTAAGTCGGAAAAGAAGTAAGATTGGGTACATCGTCTAAACAAGGCGTACCGAAGACCAGCCAGATGCTATAACATGCATTTTCATAGGGCCAGAAAAAGTTCGTCCAGGAAGCATATTTCGGAAGTCGGCCTCTATCCAGCTACCAAGCGTCTACTCAAGCTGTTCAGAGTTTTCTGGGACTGCTTTCAGAAATTACCAGTCCCCGTTTTAGCCTTGTTTTCAATAGTTATAAACTTTTAGCCTCCATCAATCTGAGCTCAACTTTAGAGCCAGAAAAGTTATTTTTCTGAATGACCGTTTTTTTTGCAAATATAAGCTCACCTTCAGAGCTAGAGCTAATTTAGGAACGTTTAGTTTGAGAACTGAGGAACCATTTTTTTTTACTAATTGGGAAAATCTAAGCTCACCTTGAGAGCTCAGGAATTTAAACAATGTGACGGACAATTTACGATGCAAATTGTGACCGATATCACTGAAATTACGATCCAGCACATTTGACCTAATGCATAAAACAACATTGATGATGATGTGATGACGATTTATATATAGAAAAACACGAAGTACTATGGATGAGAAATTTTCAGAGAAATCTGTCACGAGCTCAAAGGCTTAACATTAACAATCTCGTTGTAAAAGCCCAAAAAAACCGAGCATAAAATGATCATCTGATGGAATATCCAGATTAGCTTACCGTTTAGGAATAGATTGATGAACCACTCTAGAGAGTACTGGTACATGGGGTCGACATTGGCCAGGTCAGTGGTGCAGAAGAAGAGGATTTGAGTCCTGACTGACACTGGGATGTAGAGACTCCTCGTCTCATCTATGTCCTTCTCCGTCTTCTCAGCCACCACCACTTTGTCCTACTCACAAGTCACAACATTTAAGCCATTATATTTGCAGGGAAAACTAAATACGAGCGAGCTGTTCAATTCGCTACAATCGATCAGTTGATTCGGGACTCATTCTACTATGAAAGAAGACCAGAAGGGCAAACCATAGATTCTACTTCTATGATCCTAAGCTCAAATCTTAAGAGAAAAGATCCAGACAAAAGCGAATCATAATTTGACCACCTGCAACGCTATTGTAAGCAATTTGCATTATGAGGTCACTCACAAACACTATCTTGAGCTATAGCTGACCTTGATCTCCTTGGACTTGACTTTGGATGCCTCCAGGGTTTTGATGAGGTCCACATCGTCCACCGGGTTTCCCTCGGAGGCACTGAGTCTCTCCAGGATCTTATCCTCTATCTCCTTCAGCTCAGCCTTCATCTTCGCATTGCTCACTATCAGCTGGTTCTTCGCATCCTCCAGATCCGGTCTCTCTTCAGCCACCACACGGGCTAGCAACTGGTCCTCCAGACCACTGGAAAATAAGTTACAAATTGAGCCTACGTTATTTATTTCACGGTGTCACTTTGTAATCTCTGATATTATCGAGAGAAATGACCATTGTATTAAAAGTGACGTACGGAAAGTTCTCGAAAAATATTTTTTTTTTTCGATTCTTTTGAAGGAATAATTTTGTATAAAATTCTGTTCTGGATCACAAAAACCAACCTCGAACGGACGTCAGAACAATGTATTATAAGAAACGTCAAGCAATCTCCAAAAATGAACACCATGAAATAATACAAAAGGATAAATTAATTTTTCGAGAGGCACTGATTTGAATTCAACAAAAACACATACACTTTAGTTACTTATTTGAATTGCGCATAACTCAAAGAAACAGCTCAAGACGAAAAAACAAGTGGGACAACCTAACCGACAATCAGCACTTAACCTTAACCTTATTTTGTAAGAATATCCTAATATGGGTTTACCTGGGCGACAGGGTGAAGTTGACGAGGGTGACCTTGGTGGATATCTCTGGGGTGTAGTGGGGGTTGGGCAGTTTGGAGGTGATGTAGAAGCGGAAGTCCTCGTGGTAGGGAATCACAGCATCTCCCAGTCGGATCACCAACGAGCCCTGCTGCTTGAACGTCTAACGCAAACAAACAAACAAGAAAACAAGTAAATTTGTTTGTCGGTCATATACTTCGAACATGAACTCATAAAAAACAAAAAAAAAATCACGTAGACCGACACTGTGTAAATGAGGAAGACCATCCCAAATATATTTCCACGACAAAAAAATCATTAAAAAATTGTTTAAATCCTACTTCTCAAACTTTCTAAAGGCTAGAAAAAATAGCTTTTCAGTCTAATCGACCCATTAATAATTTAAGAAGAAAATATCTAAATACCTGTTTGAGCAAAATGGGTTCCAGGGCGGGGTCAAGTTCTTCTAGAACATTCTCCATCAGACAGGGTTTGCCAAACCGGATCGAGTTCTCCAGACTTCTGAGGAAGTCCTTGTCCGACAGTTTGAATACATCTATGCCGGCGTCTTTCTCCAGTGCCTTGATCCATTTATTGGCTTGGCCTAAAATTTGTTCAAACCAAACGTTAAAAATTAAATCATTGGTACGCCAGAAATACTCAATCAAATGGTTTTCTACGTTCTGGCATGTAACACTAAATTAAAATGCTTGTAACACAAAATTAGTCTTTGAATTGCCGAACTTAAAACCAACGAAAACTCGAGGTCAATTAAAATTCTTGAGCAAATTATAATTTTTTCTAGCCAAATGAGATAAACTTTCATTCATTTTCTAGAAAGATTTGATTTTTTATAGCTTTTAGGAGCATATCATAGTTTTGTTAGATTTTTGACTACTATTGTTGAATGAACTTGGAACTTGACGACTACAGCTTTGACCATTTATAGGTCGGTGACTTTTTTTTAAATCTGTCCTGAAGACGCTCTCAAACTGACCTTGTGGATCGATGAAGAGGCTCCACCTGTTGGAGTACTGTACGATCACTCCGTTCTCAGTGGACAGCTGGTCCTTGGGCAGTCCAGCAATCTGCCACGACCGGATCTTCACTGGGTCGCTCATGGTCTCAATCAGACCCAAGTCATCAGTATGCGGCACCTGGAGAAGAAAAAACAATTAATCCCCAGTTAGACATATTACCTAATTCACTATGAGTACCAGTTATTTTAAATTTTAAATACCATCTAAAATAGCAGTTATTAACCATATACCGGTGAGAAATATTACCTAATATTTTTTAAATAAACAGCCGTTGACGAATCGAATAGTATTCACAGAGCCAAAGTAATGTTATAATAATATAAAATTTGAATAGGTTGAAAAAATTTACAAGATTTGTTCCAGAGCGAGAAATTAGAATTGTTCCACAGGAGTAGAAATTAATGTCTTCTTAGAAAAACTGTGAATTGATACCACAAAATCAAAACTTTCAGTTTTCAAATAGACTAAAAATAAAAATTCAACATGACAATTTGATCAGCCTTCCTAGAACGTTTGCTATTATAATCAGTTTGCGGTCTCCCTACTATGTGGACTAGATACTGCGACCGCCCCCTGTCCTTTACAGATGATCAAAAAGAGCAAAAAAAAACAATTTTTTTTTTCTTTGAATCATGAAAAACTTTTATGAATCTTTCTGTCTGTTTTCTTTTCCTCTTAGTCAAGGTTTTAAATGACAACTGATCAAACAAGACTGGACAAAAAATCGAAGCAGCTGACTAACAGACAACCGCCGATAGCTCAGTTGGTAGAGCGGAGCACTGTAGAAAAGCTGATATCCTTAGGTCCCTGGTTCGAGTCCGGGTCGGCGGATGACATCACTTATTGTTTGATAACAATTGCCGGAAATTGCTTTACTTTTCAAAATTGAAATTATGTCGGAAAATCTAACATTGTAAGAATTTAGTTTGAAAATTCAATTAAAACTTTGCCATTAGTTTGACTAGATGATAGAAAAGAGCAAAAAAATTTTTCATTGAATCATGAAAAACTTTTATGAAACTTTCTTTATGTTTTCTTTTCCTCGTATTCAAGGTTTTAAATGACAAATGATCAAACAACACTGGAGAAAAAATCAAAGCAGCTGACCAACTGACAACCACCGATAGCTCAGTTGGTAGAGCGGAGGACTGTAGAAAAGATGATACCCTTAGGTCCCTTGTTCGAGTCCGGTTCGGCGGATGGCATGAAAAAGTTTTCTTCGAAACAAATTTAACGTCCTTTTTAGAAGGTTATTTTTTGAAGATCCAGAACAATTTTCACTATTAGTTTGAACAAATGATCAAAAAGAGCAAAAAAAACAAAAAGTTTTTTATTTAACGTATCATGAAAAACCCTTATCAAAGTTTCTGTCTGTTTTTTTATTCACCTCGTAAACAATGTTTTTAGATGAAAGATGATCAAACAATCGCCAGAGAACACATCCGCCGATAGTTCAGTTGAAAGAGCGGAGGACTGTAGAAAAACTGATATCCTTGAGTCCCTGGTTCGAGTCCGGGTTGGCGGATGAAATCACTTATTGTTTTATAACAGTTGCAGGAAATTGCTTTACTTCTCAAATTTGAAACTAAGGGAAGAATGTAGAAGATAATTTTGCATATGCAATCAAATGATTGCCACTAGTTTGACTATATGATCATAAAGAGCAAAAAAAATCAAATTTTTTCCATTGAATCATGAAAAACATTAATAAAATTTTCTGTCTGTTTTCTTCATGTCGTAGTCAAGGTTTTCAGATGAAAAAAGATCAAACAATCGCCGGAGAGCAAATCAAAGCGGCTGACACACAGACAACCGCCGATAGCTCAGTTGGTAAAGCGGAGGACTGTAGAAAAGATGATATCCTTAGGTCCCTGGTTTGAGTCCGGGTCGGCGGATGGCATGAATTCTCTGAAAAAAGCAATAAGAGACCCTTTTGGACCCGTAGACGATAAGGCGACAAAAACCACCAGAAAACAATCTAACGGCAATTATTGGCAAACAATTGTTGATATATACCTTTTTTAAAAGAGCCGAGGACCGCAATTACTGCTATTACCTAAAAACTGAGGGCTCGGAGAGGATTCCATAGAAAATTGCTGCAGTTTATCTCGAAAATTTTAGACAAAGTTTTTCTTCGAAACAAAAACTAACGAACCTTTCAGAAGACTATTTGTTGAAGATCCAGAACAATTTTCACTATTAGTTGGAACAGAGGACCAGTAAGAGCAAAAAAAAAACATTTTTTTCCTAACGAATCATGAAAAACCTTCATCAAAATTTCTGTCTGTTTTATTCACCTCGTTACAAAATTTTTAGATAGAAAATGATCGAACAACCACCGGAAAGCACATCCGCCGATAGCTCAGCTGGTAGAGCGGAGGACTGTAGAAAAACTGATATCCTTAGGTCCATGGCACGAGTCCGGGTCGGCGGATGACATCATTTATTGTTTGATAAGAATTGCCGGAAGTTGCTTTACATTTCAAAATTGAAAGTAAGGGAAAAATGTAGAAGATAATTTTGAACATGCAGTCAAATGTTTGCCATTAGTTTGACTATATGATTATAAAGAGCAAAAAAAAACAAATTTTTACCATTGAATCATGAAAAAATTGGATGAAACTTTCTAGCTGTTTTCTTCACGTTGTAATCAATGTTTTCAGATGAAAAAAGATCAAACAATCGCCGGAGAAAAATCTAAGCGGCTGAACCGCAGACATCCGGCGATAGCTCAGTTGGTAGAGCGGAGGACTGTAGAAAAACTGATATCCTTAGATCCCTGGTTCGAGTCCGTGTCGGCGGATGACATCATTTATTGTTTGATAACAATTGCCGGAAATTGCTTTACATTTCGAAATTGAAATTAAGGAAAAAAATAGAAGATAATTTTGTATATGCAATCAAATGTTTGCCATTAGTTTGGCTATATGATTATAAAGCGCAAAAAAAAACAAATTTTTCCCATTTAACCATGAAAAACATTAATAAAAATTTCTGTCTGTTTTCTTCATGTCGCAGTCAAGGTTTTCAGATGAAAAAAGATCAAACAATCGCCGGAGAACAAATCAGAAGGGCTGACATACAGACAACGGCCGCTAGCTCAGTTGGTAGAGCGGAGGACTGTAGAAAAGATAATATCCTTAGGTCCCTGGTTCGAGTCCGGGTCGGCGGATGGCATGAATTCTCTGAAAAAAAGCAATAAGAGACCCTTTTGGACCCGTAGACGATAAGGCGACAAAAACCGCCAGAAAACAATCTAACGGCAATTATTGGCAAACAATTGTTGATATATACCTTTTTTTTAAAAGAGCAGAGGACCGCAATTAGTGCTATTACCTAAAAACTGAGGGCTCGGAGAGGATTCCATAGAAAATTGCTGCAGTTTATCTCGAAAATTTTAGACAGAAAGTTTTTCTTCGAAACAAAAACTAACGAACTTTTTAGAAGACTGTTTTTTGAAAATCCAGAACAATTTTCACTATTAGTTTGAACAGAGGATCAGTAAGAGCAAAAAAAAACATTTTTTTCTTAACGAATCCTGAAAAACCTTCATCAAAATTTCTGTCTGTTTTATTCACCTCGATACAAAATTTTTAGATATAAAATGATCGAACAATCGCCGGAGAGCACATCCGCCGATAGCTCAGTTGAAAGAGCGGAGGACTGTAGAAAAACTGATATCCTTGAGTCCCTGGTTCGAGTCCGGGTTGGCGGACGAAAGCACTTTTTGTTTTATAACAGTTGCAGGAAATTGCTTTACTTCTCAAATTTGAAACTAAGGGAAGAATGTAGAAGATAATTTTGCATATGCAATCAAATGATTGCCACTAGTTTGACTATATGATCATAAAGAGCAAAAAAAAATCCAATTTTTCCCATTGAATCATGAAAAACATTAATAAAATTTTCTGTCTGTTTTCTTCATGTCGTAGTCAAGGTTTTCAGATGAAAAAAGATCAAACAATCGCCGGAGAACAAATCAAAGCGGCTGATACACAGACAACCACCGATAGCTCAGTTGGTAGAGCGGAGGACTGTAGAAAAGATAATATCCTTAGGTCCCTGGTTCGAGTCCGGGTCGGCGGATGGCATGAATTCTCTGAAAAAAAGCAATAAGAGACCCTTTTGGACCCGTAGACGATAAGGCGACAAAAACCGCCAGAAAACAATCTAACGGCAATTATTGGCAAACAATTGTTGATATATACCTTTTTTTAAAAGAGCAGAAGACCGCAATTACTGCTATTACCTAAAAACTGAGGGCTCGGAGAGGATTCCATAGAAAATCGCTGCAGTTTATCTCGAAAATTTTAGACAGAAAGTTTTTCTTCGAAACAAAAACTAACGAACTTTTTAGAAGACTATTTTTTGAAGATCCAGAACAATTTTCACTATTAGTTTGAACAGAGGATCAGTAAGAGCAAAAAAAAAACATTTTTTTCTTAACGAATCCTGAAAAACCTTCATCAAAATTTCTGTCTGTTTTATTCACCTCGATACAAAATTTTTAGATATAAAATGATCGAACAATCGCCGGAGAGCACATCCGCCGATAGCTCAGCTGGTAGAGCGGATGACTGTAGAAAACCTGATATCCTTAGGTCCCTGGTACGAGTCCGGGTCGGCGGATGACCTCATTTATTGTTTGATAACAATTGCCGGAAGTTGCTTTACATTTCAAAATTGAAATTAAGGAAAAAATATAGAAGATAATTTTGTATATGCAATCAAATGTTTGCCATTAGTTTGACTATATGATTATAAACCGCAAAAAAAAACAAGTTTTTCCCATTTAACCATGAAAAACATTAATAAAATTTTCTGTCTGTTTTCTTCACTTTGTAGTCAAGGTTTTCAGGTGAAAAAAGATCAAACAATCGCCTGAGAACAAATCAAAGCGGCTGACAAACAGACAACAGCTGATAGCTCAGTTGGTAGAGCGGAGGACTGTAGAAAAACTGATATCCTTAGGTCCCTGGTTCAAGTCCGGGTCGGCGGATGGCATGAATTCTCTGAAAAAAAAGCAATACGAGACCTTTTTGGACCCGTAGACGATAAGGCGACAAAAACCGCCAGCAAACAACCGAAGACTTTAGTCAAGGTGTTATGGTATCGTG